TATCTATCTATCTATCTATCTATCTATCTATCTATCTATCTATCTGTTTTAACTTTTTATTGTGAATTGAGTGAAGATCACCAGTTTTACATTCAACAAATCACAGAATTTGTTTCATTTCAATGACTGCAATGCCTTCAATGTAACAACATCTATCCCACTTCCTCCCTGTGATTCTGGTTTCCATTCTTCATTCTTTTTTCAGTGCTTCTCAGTTTTGTCCTGAGGTAAATGCTGTCCTTTTGATCTTGAATGGTTGACCATTCTGTGCTGTGCATAACACCCTCGGGTTGTTGTATCTCTGTGTATCTTTGTGCTTGAGAATTGGGACATAGGGTGAGTTCAGTTACAGATATGAAGGGTGGCTGTGGGCTACGCATAGTCTTGGGTTCCACACATTTGAGTTTGTTCCACATTTTCTTCCAGTCTATGCAGGAACTTCTAATGCAATCCCTTTTAGAACAACAACCGTATACATTTTATCTTCAATGATTGAGTGCCTTGGCTCTTGATTGCATTGTTGTTGTTGTTAGGGGCTGTTAAGTTGACTCATTCTGACTCATAGTGACTCTATGTACAACAAAATGAAACACTGCCCTGTCCTGTTTCTGTTGCTATTTACAACCACTATGTCAATTGATCACATTGAAGGCTTTCCCCTGTTTTGCTGAACTCCTATGAAGCATGATATCCTTCTCCAAAGACTGGTCCCTCCTTATAACATGTTGAAAGTATTAAGTCATACCATCGTAACTCCTAACTTCCAAAGCTGTACTTCTTCCAAAACAGATTTGTTCATTCTTCTGGAAATCATGGCATATTCAGTATTCGTCATCACCAAGATTCAAAAGCATTCATTCTTTTCTAGTTTTCCTTATTTGTTGTCCAGCTTTCACATGCATATGAGATCATTGAAATTTTCATGGCTTGCTTGGGTCATTTGCACCTTAGTTCTCAAAGTGACCTCTATGCCTTTTAACACTTTAAAGAGGATTTTGCAACAGATTTTTCCAATGCAAAATGTCATTTCATTTCTCTTTTTTAATGTTTTATTGTGAATTATGTAATAGTTTACATGGGA